ATATATGTGTGGTGCCCTACAATCTGGTGATTCTGTTATGTCAGAATGGCCTTAGAGTCATTGCTTCTCCTTAATAGCAGTACTGAGGTTCCTCTCACATAGTAGAGTTAGAGGAGGGTTCAAAGTGTCCTGGTTTAGGAGTTAAGGGAGAGATGAGCCGGGCAGGAAGTTAGCTGTACTGTCCTTTCCATCTTGGACTTCGGCCTGTGTTGGTGGAACCTTGAGGTATTATTTGGTGTTTTGTTTTGTTGGTTTTTTTTCTTGCTGCTAGGATTTGACTCTTATCCTGAAGATTTAATGGTTGCTAGAATGAATAATTTTTAGAATATCTGCTTAAAGTTTCTTCAGTATAAGCTTTACTGTATGCATCTGGTGGTAATTAAAGCATCTGTATGAAAGGAATAGTGTATTTAAAACTGACTTTAAAAGCCCCTCTGCCTTTATGGTACATTAACTTGATTCCACTAAGGTTTTAGATGTAATTTCAGAGTATTTTATATTCCAGAGAGTTGAAATCCATAATATGGAAAATTTTGTTCTTGTCGATAGAAATCCTAAAACTGTGTAATGTAACCTAATCATGTAAAAAGCATGCGTTTCAGAAGGTCTTGTACAGGAATAATGTTGATGCTCTATAAATTGAAACTTCAGAATTTTGTTTCAAATATTATTAATCCAAAGTATGCAATGATATTAATTTGTCAAAGTTTGTAGGATTAAATAAATATTTTAAAAAGCATACTGAAGGAAATAGCTAAAATAAGCTTTGAATTCGAGTTGTGTTAGTTGTGATTTGTTTCAGCTCGTGGTATGAGTGAGGAGCTCTTTAAAACAAAAACAAAGACTGTAGCTCAGTCTTTATATACCTCAGGAGAGACAGCACGTAAACTACCCAATGCTTCCAAAAAGACACAGAAATCCATCATCTCTTCCTCACCATGGTGATTGGAAGAGTTCACTTATACTTTCTGAAAGAACAATTGTGTGTAGTATTTATCGTTAGATTTGCTTCCTCCCCCTCCTCCGTCTGCTTTTGTCTTTTCTGTGTCTTTTTGTTTTAAATTGTTACTTTATCTGAGCCTTCTACTTTTACTGAAATGACTTTCTTTTTTCTATGAGTTTTCTGTTTAAAAAAACAAACAGAAATCCGCACAAAACAAAAACCACTGCAGTTTTGATAATATTCTTTATGTTATCCTTTCTAGTTTTGTCACTCAAACTACTTTAATTTTAGAATGCCTTTTAAAAAGATAGCTAATGGTTTTGAATGACTTCTTCATTGCCCAGTTTTACTCTAAGGTTTCATTACTTCTTTTGGCCCTTCACAGCTGCCAGACTTCTAGCAGAAGTGTTTCTCTCCCATCCCAATTCTTTTTGTACAAACAGCAGGAGTAACTGACTTTTCTTCCTTTTTAGGGTTTAATAGCTCCCTTTGCTTACTGATCACTAGTCAGTTGTTCTTGATGAAACTGTTATCTGCAGATTTCTGCTTAATAGTTACAGTAACAGATCAAGTTATACCGCTTGTTCTTTTCTCAGAAGAAAAATATCTTAATCTCTTCAATAGGGTGATGCTTAGGGGATTCACAGGCTTTTACTGACATCCACATGCATGACAACTGTGCCTTGGCGCACTTTGCTGGGGAGGGGAAGGAGAGTTGCTAAAAGTGAAGAGGACAATCGAAGTTTGAGGCATGATTCAGTTTTTAGAAGAGGGATGTAGGGCAGACAGGTCCAGTGAGCAAAATAGGTGCTGACTGCAGTTATATACAGAAGGTGACAGTAAGATAAATGCCTGATCTTTCGCTATCCTTGGTATCTTGAACATTTAGAATTGCAATATTCTAGAACATCAGTTTATCACTCATGACTGTATCATTTGATGTTGGTCAGAGTTTTATTGATAAGTTTATACTTTCAAACTTTCACTGATGATAATTTTTATAAAACGCACCTACCTCATTGCTGTAAGTTTTTTCTTCCATTTGCCATTATACTCCTCCCCTTTGTTTCACTGACTATAGCCATTGGCTGAAGAATGCTAATGGTGGCAGGGTATCGCATTCATTCACTATTTTGTCGCTTCGTGTTGACTGTCATTACTCTGGTTTGGACTGAGTCCAAACTGATCCAGGTTCTGCTACAGATGTTCAGGTGTCTGCCTTTATTAAATCATCAAAATTAAAGCATCTATATTCTCTGTTAACTAAGTGGCTTTTTGTTATGTTTCTTTTCTACTGAGCTATCTTCAGCTGGATTTCTTGGAGTGCTTGTTTCAAACATAAATTAGGCAATATTATGCATGCTTTACATTATTACAAGTTTTCCCTATATTTATTATCTTTTGGTTAGAGATCGAGAAGAGAGGTTGGCAGCTCTTACTGCAGCTCAACAAGAAGCCATGGAAGAACTGCAGAAGAAGATTCAACTGAAGGTATAAAAGGATACTTTAGTTGAAAAATACATCAACAATATTGAATTTCTACAAAATTATTTTCTGTATGTATGTTTGGTGAAGAGGTTACAGTGCACTGTACAGTGTCCTGAATTACATAACTTTACAAGAGATTTTTATTTAGACTTTTTCATTAAGAAGAGGACCTTGCTGCATAACATGGCGCTGTGTAGTTTGGAAACAACAGGACTGAGCTCTATTGAATTCATTAATTTCCAAGCTTTGAACATGAGAACAAGTAAACCTGTACTTTCCAAGAGAAGTCAAAGTAATTTTGAATTAAATCGTGAGGAAAATCAATATGCAAAAACTCTCTCACTGTTTAGTGAAGACTATTCACCAAACAGTTGCACAAGGTACTATCTAAAGGTATTGAAATTGATGGGGTCAAGTATGACGTGCTGTTTTCTTTTGTTTCATGAAGGGTTTCAGTTATTTCATAAAATAGGCGTAAGGATTGAGCCCAGGTAGTTCAGCTGTTCAGCTGAATTGACTGTCCAGTGGAGAACCAGGGTATGAGAAGTTTTGAAGAGACGTACACTGTTTTTCAAGAGATACAAAGATTTCTAAAATGATAAATTATATTTTAAGGTTCTGAGGTGGAACTGCATATTGAAGTTTCAATTAATGATAAATTATGTAAATTTTTATTCTAGGCTAGTTTATATATATGTACAAATAATTTTTCATTTCAGCCTTATTCTTTGCTCTGTTGTCAGTCTGAAGCACCATAGCTACATTTATTTGTAATGTAAAATGCAGTTTTGTTATTAAATATGGGTTCATACCCCAGACTCTGATTTCAAATAATAGTTGAGAGTTTATTCCATTCTCTTGAGGGTTAGGTATGAAGACCCTCTGAAAGAATTCGGTGAACTCTGCCTGCTAGTGCAGATAAATAACAAGTAATTTATTTTTACTTTACTTTATGATTTTGTATCTGTCAGTGAAAATGCCACTACGTAAGTTACGTATTTGTAGAATTGAAAATTGAACTTGTGTTCTGTACTAGAGTGTTTCATTAAGAACAAAACCAGAACTGAGATGTTAGGTTTGACAAAAAGATTTACAGAATAATTTGCGACAGATTATTAATTGATAATCACCTATAAAACAAAAATAGTGCTGATTGAGGGGGTTTTTTTGGTGGTTTGTTTTTGTTTTTTTTTAAATCGTAGCATAATGTTAAAATGTATATGATGGGTAGTGACTTTTAATGCCTTTCAGTAATAAAAAATAGTTTCGGTTTAACAGAAGTTCATCCTAACTGTACAGTATTTGGTAATTCCCAAGATTTCTTTGCACAGTTTAATTCCATTAGCTGTAATTAATTGTGTGTTTTCTTTGTTGCTTTGATTATTTTCCATTCAGCATGATGAAAGTATTAGAAGGCACATGGAACAAATTGAGCAAAGAAAAGAGAAAGCAGCTGAATTAAGTAGTGGAAGACATGCTAATACTGATTATGCACCAAAACTTACACCATATGAACGGAAAAAACAGTGCTCATTATGCAATGTAATGGTAAGTTGGTTAGAGGGAATACTGGAACTGCAAGGTCAACCTAAGCCTAGAAGCTACAAATTATGCTTCATTCACGGATTAGAGTACTGCATATCTACTGTGTCCCTGCTCTGCTCTTGTAAAGTGCACCTTATTTTGGACTCTTCTGTCTATAAATCAGGTAGTTTAGGGAAGATTTGAAAGAACTGTAGAGGTGTAGGTAGAATGGAGAGTGTGGACAGTGCTTGGTTATTAGGTGTCTCTTCTAAGAAAAGCAAGAATTTGGGAGCATCAAATGAGAGTAGTTAAAAGCTAGATTCAAAGCAAAGAATATGGGTTCAGGGCAAGATTGGACAAGTTTCATTGGATTGAAATTCACTGAAGGTTACTAGATAGAGAGAAACTGCATCAAGCTCATTAAAGTTCTTGAACTGAGTTTGGTTGGACACTTAAAAGTGTTGAAGGGGAGAATCAGTGTTTGCTTTGTCTCTTCTTTTACTTTTCCTTAGGTATCTTATTTTTTGGTCACTGTTGGAAACCAAGTACTTTGCTAGGCAGACCTCCGATCTCAACAGGGTATTTTTTCTTGTGTCTGCTGTTCCACATGTCCCAGGAATGGTGGAGAAGGGGAAGTCATACAGTCACTGAGTAGGAAGCAGAAAGATCTGTTCTTGTGGATAACTGGTTTTACTGATTTGCAAAGACTATGCATTATTGAGTAAAACCTTATATCCTACTAAGCATTATCTCTTTAATTGCTGAATTAAACAAGATTGCACAGGATCACTTCAAGGCAGTGCTGGAACAGAAACTCAGGTTCAGCAAAAAAAAAAGACTGGAGTCTCGCATATTCACTGATCATCCGTTTCAGAATGAAAGTCCACTATGTGAAGTTAGGTAGAAGTGAAAATGAGATGAGAAGCCAAGATATTATTTTTTTTAATCTCTTATTATACTGCTGGCTAGCAAATCATGATGTAATTTAAGTCCTGCATGAAAGATGTTTATGTAAATTAGGTTAAAGAATAAAGTACTGTGCTTGAAATTCTGAACCTACTCATGATGAATTGGCATATATTATATTATGTTTAAAATACTCTTATTTATAGATTACTGAATTATTGAGGGGAAAAAAAATACTATTAAGTCATTGTCATTACAGATTTCATCAGAAGTATACCTTTTTAGCCACATTAAAGGGAAAAAACACCAACAAGCTGTGAGAGAAAACAGTAGTATACAAGGACGAGAGCTTTCAGATGAAGAAGTGGTGAGTTTTGTAATATTTTTTTCTATATTACATCTAGTTTTAAATATCATCCAGCTGAGTAGCATAAGAAAGTTTTGAAAATTCTTATAAAGGAGTTGAACAAGAGTATTTGTGTTAGCATGGGAATAGTAATGCCTTTTTGAATATAGACTACCAGTGAAAAGGAACGAAAGAAACAGTGGCTTCAAATACTTCAGGCAATTGCCATTTGAAATAGATTGTGTATAAAATGTGACTAATTGCTTTTCTATTAATCCAAAGGCCTTTTTCATCTCACTATATTTATCTTTTCATCATAAAAATCTGTGTTGCAGGTGTCTGCATTTTGCCTTATTTTTTTGTTCTTTCCTGTTGCTTAAAATATCTTAGCTGTTTTTTAGTTTATCAGATGTGCTATCCTATGCATCAAGGTCAGTAATGTTGAATGTTGTAGTGCTAAATTACTTTCAAATGTAAAATTTGAAACACTTTGCAAGTGTTAGTGTTGCTAGCAAGAACAACAATTAGTTTTTCAGTAGCTTCTTTAGAAGAATTGGCTCATAGGGTGATTTTTAGGAAGCACTGAGGATATTTTATACTAAATCAAGAAACTATACTGTTTTGAAGGAAAGTCTTCTGAATGGTTGTCTGATTTAATTTCTCATTGCTGCTGCCTGAATTGAACTAAGTATTAAGTCAAGGCCTTTTATATGAGACAAATTGTAACAGTCAGATTTTGAGTTCTGTCTTACCCAAAGAATTTGTGAATGCCCGTGTATTGTACCTGTCAGATGTTAAGAAGAAATATTTTACAAGCCAATTCTCCAGAGCTGTTTGGTAATCTGTTTCCAGCCAAGGTGGTTCAAATGACACTGCCTAGTACTTTTAATTTTTGGCTGTCTCCTTCTTTCCTTCACAATTCTTGTTACTCTTTGTATTTGTGGAAATCTTTTTGTTTACAGCTTCTTACGTCCAGTGTTAACATCATCTCTTTTCCTTTTTAAAAGCTTTGGAGAGTTACATTTCAGAGGTACTGACATCCACAGAGGTGGTTATCACTGGAAAAACAGAAGAAGAAAATTAGAGAGATACAGTTATCTGGAGGAATAATTTTTTGCCGAGTTGCGGTTTTCCTGTCCCTTCCTAAGTGCAATGAAAGTACATAAACTCTTTTTTCAGTTTCTTTTTTCCTCTTTTACAGTGGTTAGTGGGAATTGTGTGGTTTTGAATTTGGTTTTAGATGCCAGGTTTAGGTAACTAGATATATGGGAGAAGGCTTCATACTGCATTTGTATTGCTAGAAATATAAGCTATGAGATTGCCCAGAATCTTTCATGTTGTACATGCACCAAAGTGTGGGCAATCTGTAATGTTGAAATGTTTTTGTATTTATCTAGCCTTTGCTTGTATCTGTCTAGCAACTGATAACTGAACTACGGTTCTTGCTGGGCAGCTGTCTCGGATGAATAGGGAGGGAAACAGTGAACTAGATTTTCTTTTGACTGGGTGTTAAACGCTATTCACCACAACTGATTTGATAGCTTAACAATTCTAGTTTCCAGAATAAGGGGTCAAGTTACAACGGCTGCATTTGTGCCCAGTTGGTGAAAAAGAAGTTCCACTAGAGGGCACAGATATCTTGATTTTTGTGGTGTCCAACATCATATACTTAAATCCAGTGTTTTTCAGCAAAACATTTCGATGTGAACTTAAGAGCAAGATTAAGGTTAAATGTATGGGATTTCTTGAATGCGTACTTAGTGCAGGAGCAAAAGGTGAGAACAGTTTTAAATGAATGAACAGCTTGATGATTACAATAACAGATTTAAATATCCTTATTCAAGAGGGCACATAGTATTTGGCATACTGGCAACATATGAATACTTCCATTGTTTGATATTGAATATATTATTTATAGCTCTATTTTAGTTAGTCTGAGTATAAAATTCTGAACTGTATGTATTGTAACCTGAAATCTGCTTGACCTGAAGTCCTCTCTGTTTTGTTTTGCTTTCAAAGAGTAGTAATAAGATATACACGCTAGAGATATGGTCACTGTAAAGCAGAAAAGCAATTTTATTTCTCGGAGCAATCTGCTTTGTGTACCTCTTTATTCAGCATACTTAGTTAATGCCAAACTTTGACTTGCCCACAACTAAAGCATTCAGTAACTTTAAGTTTTGAAATACTTGAGAAATAATTTCCGAAGTATTACATAGAAGTAAAACTGTATTCCAGGGAAGCGTTCTAATATTCATAGTTACTTATTCATCACTCTTTTCAATTTTTTAGTCAGTGAAAGTATCTGTAGTGAGAACACACTTGTACTACTTAAAGTTATTACTTGTCATCTGTGATGTCTTTAGATTATATACATCTTGTCTGTGACCCTTCTTCTTTGACATAAAAGATTTTATTTATATCACCTCTGACCTAATAAAATTTCACCTTTAACCTTTTGCACTTGACACCTCAGATAACGTACTCTTGATCTTTGACTCATTTTGTGTTAGGCCTGTTAAGTATAATAGGTAGCTGCCTAGAAAGAAAGCTTTTTTTGAATTGTAATCTGACCATAGCATTTCTTTACTGTTATTTGAGAAATCACAGGAGGACTTGAAATATGTTTATTTTGACTGTATTGGTGTCACAGAAGGTAAGATTTAAGTGTCTCCTTAAGACTTTGCAAACTGATTTAAATAAGTGATTATATAATATGTCTTCATACAGTAAGGATTTTTGTTGGTTGATTTGGCTGTAAGCAAAAAGTTAAAAGCTGTACTGAATAATCATTGACATCAGTTTCTCTGGGCTAGGTGGATGCTAGTAGTTGATCTTGCCAGATATAAAAAGGAACTATTATGTTCGAGGTTTTTTCCCTTTGCTATAGCATCCATAAGTTCTGTAATTTTACAAAAATTTTCAGAGATAAAAGCAGAATTCATGTTGGAGCAGCTTTCCGTTGTTCTGGAATTAAACATATATTGTGCTTAATTCCAGCATACACTGTGCAAGAGCTGACAGCTAGTATTAGGTCATCAATAAGATGAATTCACTTGTAGGTGTGATTATGTTTGGTGAAACTCACAAAGAAAATAATTTTGTTATGAATGAAGATACTAAAAATGGAAAAGCGTGAAGTTATTTCTAAGATTGTATGACAGCTTCATGTCATCTCAGCTTTTTGGGTTTTCTTCATTTAGGTATTTGTTAGTCTTCAGCTGAAAAGAATGTAGATTTCTCTTAAAGCAAAAATCTATTGATTTTGAAACAGTGGTTATCATGTGAAAGCAAATTAAGTTCTATTCACATTTTTTACTTACTTTTTAGCTTCTCTTTTGTCTGGTGTCTTATAAATATATTCATTTATGTAGATGGCAAAACTCTCAATAGGGTAGGCTTCAGGCTAAAAGTTACCTTTCCTTCATTATATTTCTGAAATTTGTAATGCTGTCCCACATCATTTTGCCATTATCTTGAGAGCAGTAACAATGCTCTGTCTGCATTTTCTCTCTCTGCTTAAATGCATGTCTTCTTCCATCAAACTTACAGCTTTACCTTCTTTTTACATTGCTATTTTTCACGCTATTGATTTCCTGTCCCCTCTCTTAATATTCATATTACTTTCAGTTCAACAAAGGATGTAAACAATGTATGCAGTTTGGTTTCATTGACTTCACTGGAATCACTTAGTACGTTTGAAGTTATGACTAACTGTTTTTCTGAATCAAAGCCTGTATGACACAAAGGGCTTTTGACGTAAAGGCCATCACTGAGAAGGTGACTGCTGAAAGCCGTAGGACAGCACATGGTGATTTTATTAGACTGAGGAGTCTCTGCAAGAACCTTGTAGTCATTTGCTCCCACCTGTAGCTCCTAGATTATTTTTTCCTTTTTATGCGTCTCTGCTTTCCCTTTTTTCTTTGCCTTTCTTGTCTGTCCTAGTTCGCTTTGAGAAATGAACATAACACCAGTAATCCTTATAGCTTGTTTCCATTGGACCTTTGTCCTATCTCTTGTCTGTATCTCCTGTCGTGTAAATACCATGGTTTAAAGTCACTTTTAGAGTATAAATCATGTAATTCATGCAGTCTATGAATGTTTCTAATAAGTGAGAAGTAATTCTAGAAAACATATAAAATGGATAACTTGGCAGGGGTTTGATTAGTTTATATAAGGTGCATGCTAGAATTTTATGTATTCCAAAGCAGGATGGAGGAATATTAATGAACCTTTGTTTGCAGATGAGAAAAATGTTCTTTTTTTTTAATCAGGGAAGAAAACTGACTCTCTTGTCATGATATAAATGAAACAAAGAACTTCTTAGAGGTATATTTAGATCAAGTAAAAATATAATCCCCTGATAGATCAAAGAGATTGTTGTGGTCTGAAGATTGACAGCGTTAAAATGTAAAGAATTATAGAAAGACATGGTTGGTTGAGCCCACCCACATTCCTGTTAAAAAACCAAACAAACAAAACAGATAGTCATTGAGTAAAACTTACTCTATAGTGTGGGTTGTAGTTGACTGGGGTTGCAGCGCATGCCTTTTCTGGCATAGGCCTGTCTAGATTGTAGCGGGGTCTGATTTACAATGTGCATAACTGTGCTGGCAAGTTCCCCTGGTACACACGCTGTTATGCTGGCAAGGTTGTGCTTTTGCCAGGATGTGGTGAGAGGCTGCCTGAGAAAGCAGAGTTGTGCTGGTACGAGTTCTGTTCCAGTCATGTGAAGTTTATAGCTAGCACAGCACACAAGCAAAGCTGATGTTCATACGAGTGTGAATTTCTAAAAGTTTTTAGGGGTGAGAGGTTGTTTTTGTTTAAGGAATTGAGCTGTTTTCTCAAAGTCGTGTGCTACTTCCATTATTTCTTACAGAGGAAACTACTGAGAGAAAGAGATGTGGGAATGTTTTCATGCCTGACCTTTGCTCTTTTTCTTCTGTATTTACAAGAAGCTTTCTTGGCTAGAGACATGATGATGCCTGGACTTTGCTAGATTTTTTTACTTTTTTTTAATT